TCACGTGTCCCTGTCATGTCCCTTGTCCAGGCCAACTCTTCCGATTCCCAAAGCATGTCCTCACAAACACGGTTTCAGAGCCATTGTCCTTCAAACTTACTGCATGAAGATCCAGTTTTAAATCACATAAAGACCAAGGTCAGTTTGGGGAGAAAATGGCTAATGTCTAGTTAACTTAACGATCCTTGTATAACAATAGTAACTGCAGAGTACATGAATTCTGCAAGAATTTTTAGGGTGTGTTTTATTTTGACTATATAAAAATTGTTACCAGTTATAAATATAAAACTCTTATAAGAATTGCAATTTTAATAACTTGTCCAATAAGACTTGTTTCAGTATTTTTGAATTGTAGGCGTTTTTCACATTCAGGTATTCCTTAGTCCATGGAAAACTTTCTTTAAAAACATATCATCCATGTTTGAAAAATAGTTTCAGGGTAGCCCATGGGGTTTAGATTGTTAGCCAGTCAATGTCTTAGGGACCTTATGTGTCCCTAAGGCACCTTATGTGGCAAAAAGGCTGTTACGTTTATGAATTAGGGGAAGTGAGATTTAGCATATAGATGGAGTGCAACAGTCAGCTAGTGTGCACAAAGTCAGTCATGTTTTTAAATCAACCTAACGGAATCTGGCTCCATCCCACAGGACTGGCGGGCGGGTTTCCCTCGGCTGCAGCCTGATGACCAGTGTCAAAGCCCCCACGGTCTCCACAAGTCCAGGCTGTTCTGCTGCCAGTTTGGGGACTGACACTTCCCTAGATGCCCCACTTGCTGGTTCCCAGCGAGGTCCTCTCTCCCGGAGGCAATGGTTCCCAGGAGTCCTGTGCCACCTGTGCCCACCGTCAGCGTCCTGGCCTCCCGTCACCACCTGGCAATGTGCTCTCCCTCAGGTCCACAATTCCTCCATGTGGGGTGGTGTCTAACTCTTTAAGTTGTTATTAGCAGGGTGATGCAATCGTGGTGGAATCATTTTCCCTCCTTGAATAGGTTGCATTTAAAAATGTGTATCCTGAGGAGTTGGATGCCTTTAAAGTCAGTCCAGAGGAAATGATTCTGTAAGTCCACTGAGAAGTGGCAAGTTAGTGGAAATTAATTGGTTTCCTCAGCCTCAAAGGTAAGCTCTCTTATTTGAGAGAAAACAAATCCATACAGAAAAACACAGTCCATCCTCTTATGTAAGCATAAAGAAAGGGCAGAAGCTCATTAAAAGCCTCTGGGAATAACTCCCAGTTATTAGCAAAGGAGGGGCTATTGACATATTCTGCTGTGCTTACGCATTCTATTTAGAAGCGGAGAAGGCTCACCATCACCATTACAGAGTGAATGTGAGACCGGAAAACCGACTGCCAACAGCCTGAGCTCAGAACGCAGACAGGACACAAGGCAGGTATCAGCTGCAATGGCAGTCTTACCCTTGAGTCAGGTCACGTGAAAGCAATCAGAACTGGGAATGTCCCCAGCAGCGTCTGGTGCCACCCTGACCCAATGTCCTGCCAGCATCGTCTCCAAAGGTGGTGGCATTTAAAATTCAGGGAGTTAGTTGGCTGACAAGCTCACATTTGTGCTTATATTTTCTTAAATTTTGACTTGGAATTATTTTTATAAATACAGTATTCTTAATGATGTTTACATGCTTTAAAAATCTTACTTCAGTAAGATGTCACAGTGGAAAAGTAAGGTGTAATCCTGCGCTATTCACCATGCAGGTAAGCCTCACTCTTTGGACAAGGCCAAATCATCCACCCAGCTGTGCAATAGTCTTTCATTAAAAACCTCCCCTTTACTCAATAGAAAAGTAGTACCACCTACCCAGTTGTCTTAAAAAGCATAAACCTACAAAATGACAGCAAATTCAGTAAGGCATTTAAACAATTACCTTGGTGATTTAAGGAGCATAAACTACTAAATTGGGTAAGTTGGGACAAAATTGCATTTGACTGTCCTCTGCTTTGAATTCAAAACAAAAACACAGGCAGAAGGGCAGCACGATGTGGTGGTGGTTTTGTGATGAGGCCTAGACCTCTGCCTTTCCTCCTGCTGCTCAGGTGAGTGGCTCGCAGTCCCAGCACTGCCTCACCTCACCCCTGCCACCTCCGTTGTTCCAAAGTACACCAACTACGTAACGTGTTCAAACGTGATGGTCTTCTATCCCAACTGAGGAACTAGTTTTCCTCCTGTGTTCGTAAATTTGGTCAAATGTTATTTAGAGGCCAGAATTTAAAATATGATGTGGTATTTAGTCAACCAAATTAATTTTAAGAAATTTTAGTTCCATGCAAGGCACACGGAGGAAGATTTCACATGAATGTCTCAGTCTTAGCATCTTCCCTGTGGTGAAAATTAGCGGAGCTAAACAACGATGTCCACCCACCCAGGACATGAGCTTCTGTCCCCACCTGCCTCGGGTCTCCGTGGTCCTGAGGCCAAGTCTGTGGCTGTTAGTTAAGGGGCTCTGAGATGCGCCTCTTTTCTTAGAGAGGAGCTAAGAAAACCCATCAAAGTGGGAAAATGGCACAGACAAGATAAATGGAGAAAGTAAATCCTCCCGTGTTTAATACACAAACAAAATGTCTAAAAGGGTAATTATTCCACCATAGAACAAACGCATGGCTCGCCTCGCTGGTTTGTATGATATGCCAGTTCCTGTATGTGTTGGACGCTGTTGACCTCTTGAGTCTCAATTAGTAATAGTTTTGGAAAAACCCACCTCCTCTTATTTCACTGTTTATCGGCATCTCCAGTTAGAGGCAGGAACTAGAACACGCGCTCAAACTGATTACTTTAACATTTTGTTCGATACTGGAAAAGGGTTGAGTGGAAAAGAATTCTCTACATTAAGTGAGGTACTATTTTCTCTGTGTTGTAGCTGGCAGTTTACATCTTAGTAAATGATGGAGAGCAGAAGCGGTGTGGCTTTTCCAGAAATACAGACTTCAGCGGACTCAATTTGCTGGAAAAAATGGTCTTTCTGGGACGCCCCAGATTTATAGCTTCCAAACTGGCTGCATATACCTGAGACCCAACTTCAAGTTTTGTCCCTGGTCAGCAAACATCGAAGGCGGATGCTGCTGGCAGTCCTGCCTGGGACCAGGATTACACACTTCTTCTAAGAAAGGCCTTTCTTACAAGCAACCGTGTATGTTTCTAATAACTCCCCAAATACAGGAAACTGTCAGATCAAAGACTATTTACAATGAGTCCCAACTGGGCCATCATTTGGTCAAGTTAATAAAGATTATGTTAACAGATCAGTAAAATCTGGAACTATATACTTCAAAGACCAAATCTTACGTTCTTCAATTCAGGATGAAACATTATGGATTTTAAAGGAAGCTGCTGTAACTACTCAGAAAGCAGTCATTTAGCAATTATGAGTACACGGTATTTTAAGACATGAAAAGGCCTCCCTCGTGCTCACAGCCCTGACACAGGGACCTCCGCAGCCGACAGCAGTCACTTCCGGCGTCCTTCTATTACCGCTTGAAACGGACACACTTCAGAGTGAGTTTATGCGTTTCCCCGTTCATGGGCTCAGGATCACAGGAGGCTCTCGTACTCGGCAAAGCATCAGAGGGCACGCTGCTGACGCAGTGCTCACCCACCCCCTTGGCCGTGACCCGGCTGCCACCCCAGACTCCTTGCTGTGAACTGTCTCGCATGGCGCTGCCTCATGATGACCACGCCACACGCTGACGTCCCCACAGGTCCAATCTGGTTCTGGAGTTTTAGGGTGTGGTGTCCCCAGCACAAAATCGGTTCCAGCTGGTGCCATCAACTCCCCCGCTTCTCTGCACAGTGAGGGAGGCCAAAAGGAGCCGCAGTGCGCTGGGCCTCCTGCCCCGCAGCTTCTGGAAGGAGACAAGTAAGGCGGAGGTGTTGCCCCGACCACAGACACCCACATTGGGCCTGGAAGGCCTAGAACTGTAATTGTGTGTAATATTAGCTATGCTGATCTTAGAACGTTTGAACTGAAAAAAATGTAGGGTTATTTCACAATTATTAGCTTCTAGCCCCAATAAGGAATCAGTAAGTGAAGCAAATAATTATTTTTGTTGCTTCCTAGATAATTCTGTGACAATGTGAGAGACGTCAATATAATGATCCAAAGTCAGAAGAGGTTAGAATAATGGGTTTTCATTGGAAACCTTTCCTCAATGAATAGATTCTATTGTAAAAATGACACTGCAACTTTGAACCAAAGGAAGGGTAGGCAAAACTGGTCAGCTCCATGCTCATAAAAAGGCCGCACTGCATTGTCAAAGGGATAATTTTAGGCCTTGCATTCTTTTCCAGCCGCCCAGTCTGATTGGCTCTGTTCTAAATAAGGTGGGCTGTGGCTCCCTGTAGCTTTCGGCCTGTAAAGCCCTTCCTAACTCTGCAAGATGATGTGCTACATCATCCCAGGGGACTAGGCCAGCGAAGCACCAGCCTGCTGCCCTCACTCAGCTGGGCCCAGGGCGAGGAGCACACCAGAGTCCTGTCTACAGGGCAGGTGACTTCCGAGCTGGCATTTCCAAGGAGCCACACTGGGCAACTGGAACCTCTCTCCACCTTCTGCATTCCCAGGAGCCTGGACAAATGCAGTTCTCTCTCTAGGTAATTTATAATTCCTGACGTTGAAAATACACCATTATTTCAGTAAAACCTCCAACCAACCGTGAGACATCATAGCCACATCAAACAGTCACACACTGTCTGTACTTGAAAGTTCTGACAGGCTGATCAAGTTAAATTCCTGAGGCAGTTCAGGATCTCAACCCCATTTCTAGAACCCGGTCCCTGTCTTCAGTGAGTCCTAGTGGTAACAGTATAACTTTGCAGAGATAGTGTGAGCAGCAAAAAGCACAGAACGGCCACTAACATGCATTGGAGACCAGGAGTCTGACCGCAGGTCAGCCCTTTGTCATCTGCTAACCGCAGCAATTCTGCTTCCAGAAACAGGCTCCTGCATTTCAAACGTTTCAGGTTTCATTAGAAAATTCATATACAAAATAAAAAATACATTTATCAAGAATAATGGTATTTCATTTATCAGGTTCATTTAAAACACAAGTTACAGCATAGAAAGAGGAATGACAGCATCAAGTCTTATCCATCTAACTGATCTGCAAAACGAGTCCCTTAAAAACACGGTTTTAATAGAAGGCAACGGTAGTTCTGTTTCCCAAGCTGTCTTCTTAAGTAAGTTCAGGGTTTTCTGCAACGGGTTTTACACGAAGTCGTCTCTGTACCCAGTGTAAAGCCGTGTCCTTTCCTCATCACCCAGGACTCAATCCCCCACATGTGGTCACCGGGGGCCTCTGTGGTCGCCCCCCACCTTCGCTGTGCTGAGGAATATGAGACCGCACTGACAGTTGATCCAAGTTCGAGTCCACAGCAGAGTTCTAGCATTAGATATCCGTCCTGTCTACATCTCAGGAAACGTGATGACGTCACCTGTGGCTACAAAACTGCGACTCCGCTGAGCTCTCTCTTCTTGAGTCTGCCCACTGGCTTCCCCCTCTGCCCACCCCTGGCAGTGCCACCTCCCCAGCAGGTTCCGGTTTGGGGGGAGAGGAGTTTGCTCAACGTCTTGTTTCATGAAGAACACGTTACAGCCCTACCAGAAATTTACCGCCTGTCCCAACTCCCTTCTGTCAGGGCTCCCAAACAGGTCCCCATCGGCTGTGGCAGCGGTGGCAGGACACCCCGTGTCAACTGCTGTCAGCACCGGGGCGATGCTGCAGGCTGGGCTCTCCCACTGTCACGTCAACTATTTCCAAAAAGCAAATGCCTTGTCATTAGCTGGAATCTACGAGAACTCAGTCTCTGGAGTGAAGGCGTCTGTGTGGTTCCGTCCTGTTTGGTTCCATGCACGTGACAAAGGGAAAGATGGCACATTCATCCTGGACAAAACTAGGCAGGGTGAGTGCCAGCCACACGGGAGGCTGGCTAGACAGCCCCACAGCACGAAAGGAGGCGTCAGCCCAGGGCGCGGGGAGGCACGAACAGCATCGGCGCCGTTACCGCGGTGGAAAGCCACCTCTGTGTGCTCCTCCGCGGCCCCCCCGAAAGCCACCTCTTTCTCCTCGGAAGTTCGAGCGATTTCTTTCCCGTCCGCGGCCGGCGGAAGTTCCTCCTCTTCCCCCACCCCGGGGAGCCCCACCGCCCCGATCCGACTTCGATTTGGGAGGGGGCGACTTGGGGCGCAGCCTCTCAATTTCCTCCGTGCAGCCGGTCAGGTAGGAGTTCGGGGCGCTGAAGTAGGACGCGTAGGTCTCCGCGTTGTAGTTGCTGTTGGTCAGGGTCGGCCCCACAGTGAGCCAGCCTGCAGGGAGGAAGGACAGGGCCTTGGTCAGTGGCTCTGCGGGACCCTGCCGAGCGAGTTGACGCCTCCGGCGCGCGCCTCAATGTCCCTGCCACTCGGGACGCGACGTCGCCCTTTTCACAGAATCGTGGCGCTCAGTCTGGTTCTAAAGACTTCATACACACACACCTCGTTTCTCCTCTCAGACTAACGTGTGTAGTTTATCCCCCATTGTCTCCGTCCAGGTTTCACATCCTGTGAGAAGAGCACTTAGAAAAAAAGGTCACCCACTACACCGGGTCTGGGCTCAGTGAAAACTTAAGTCTATGCACCCCGCCTGCCTGTGGCTTCTGCTTAAAACCCTGGAGCCGTCTGTCACCTTGGCGCTCCCAAACACAGCCAGCCGGGCGCTGGCCCCGGTCACGCAGCCACCGGGGGCTGCCCCTGCCCATCCGCGCCGCTGCCCTGGCGTCAAGCCTGTCTTCCTCCCAGGTCCAGCCTCTGTGCCCGCGACGGGTGAGCACGGACCCCGCGACGCTCTCCCGCCCTCCCCTCCCTCGGAAAGTGGGACGCCTAAAGCAGAGTGTATTTGAAGCGTCACTGCCCTGTGCAGCCTTCCAGCGCTTCCCACGAAGCCCAGATGCATAAGCCTGGATCCAAGGGCTTTCGTAAGAGGCTGGAACCAGCCTCCGACCACGTTTCCCAACAGCTTCGCTCGAGTGCAACAGCGACCCACCAGTGACGGCTTCCACGGTGTCGCCACCTCCGTGCCCGCTCCCTTCTCCACACTGTCAGCCTGCGGAACATCCACCATCAACACCCAATTCAAACGTACATCTCATATGAAATGCAGTAACTTCTCTCCCACAATTCCTCTGCACACGTCCTCCATAGGGTAAAAAGGCATTTCTGTCAACTACACTGCTAGACGGCTGTGCTTCTAAGAGGGATGATTTCTGACTGGTTAAATTGTATCTGAACTGGGAGGAACTACAATTAACTGTAAATGCCCAACAGAGACATCATCATGCTTTGGGGCTCCCCGGGTGTGGTGACATAACTGACACACTTCTGGGGGAGACAGTGGGGACATGCCTCTGCACTACAACAAGAGACATGGCGTCCTTTAGGGCAGCTCAAGTCACCTCTAAGAATTAGGTTCTTTATGTGAAAAGTCAGGGGCACAATATTTCTGTCCCAACCCCCTCAAGGTTATTTCTTAGAATATTAAATCCATCAGAAAATGCTATAAAATGCAAAATATTTTACAAAGATCACATTCCAAAATGTAGTAGCCATTTTTGTACACTTCATTCATCATTTAAAAACTCATTGGTATCGAATAGTACCTAGATACAATCAGGTTTTGGTACCATTTGAATAAAAACCAATAGGTATCTCACACTGGTCCTTATATCACGTAGCAGGTTCCCTGGTGAGCAGAGAAGGGCCCATCAGATCAAAGCGCACGTGGTTGCCTACGTGGCCACATTGACCACTGAACCTGTGAGAGTTTCGCTTGCCCCCTTCGAGTTTTGGAAGGGCTGTGGTGTTATAGAACACAACACAGAAACTTGAAGGTTTCATAATAAAAATAAATGCCATACTACCTCTTACATGAATAAAACATAGACATCTTTGCCGAGTAAACTGTAACAGGCTCCGCCTCCCACCCACAAACTCACCACCGCAAGAGTGTTTTGTTCCAATTTCTAGAGGTAGAAATGCTAAAAGAATCAAGAAGATTAACATGGCCTGGCTTCAGCGTATTTGACACACATAGCATAAGCCTTTTGAACAATGGTAACTAGTGTTCCTACAATATATGATACACCTCAGACAACTTCCTGGAGGAAGAGGTGTATCTCAATTGTTCCTACAATTATTTTCGTGGTTAACCCCCAACCACCTGTAACTTCCTCAAGCAGATTTTCCTTCCTAATTTTGTTTTACTGCAGCTAATACTGAAATAATTTTTGCAAGAATGGCCAACAATAAACATTCAGACGGTAGTTTGCAAGCAAAAACGAAAATTTGTATCTCTAAGACTTTGTTCAACAGGTACAGATCCAGATAGCAGGACATCCTATAGGAAAGACACAACGTATAATCTACAGTGGGTCACGTGGCTGCAGCTAAATGGATGAGAAGAGCCCCACTGAAGAGAAGTTACACATAAAAATGCGCATTAAGCAAACATCGCTACCTTAGTTGCTGCTTATGTCGATACCTATAACTACACTTAATGATCTATTCTCTCTACTCCTTAGGCATCACTTCATTGAACACGTAGTTACTGAACGGTGTGGATGCTGGGTAGAAAAAAGGAAGACCATCTTTGCCTTCCCTGAGACTGAAGCTGGAGACGGACTATAAGCGTAGCCAGAAGAATCTATACTGCAGATGACGGTAAGTGCTATGAGGAAACAGAAAACAGATTACGGAGAAAGAGTGGAGGCAGGGGGTGCAGTGGGACGCTGGTGGGTTTAGACGGGCTTGTGAGAGAAGGTCTGTCAGGTGTGAGTGAGAGGACAGCGGGCGACAGGAAGGACCTTGGCGTCCCTGAAGAGCAGAAAGAGGACTCAGATCCATCGTAAGGACCTTATTTCACACAGCACTGTGAGCTATTTCCTGATACCTATCTCCCGAGGAACCAGAAAGTCTTTCACTTTTCTGAAGTCCTACCTGGTCGAATTGTACTGTCTCTTCCAAATAGATGCAGGCGTCTTCTACCAAGACAAAAATGTTCAATGATGTGAAAAATTTCTACAGGCTTTTCTATATTGCCGATTTCAGGCTCTTCCGTGATAATCAAGTCAATGTCGACATTGGCATGGATGAAGTCACCATCGGTGCTACGCTTGACAGTCCCTTTGATCCCCATAAGGCAGTGTTCCTGCAAAACATGAGAGCAGACCCATCTCATCCATCAAGTCACATTCATATCACTTTACATTTCAGGTGTCCCCAATGCCAAAACACTCCTCATTTCTCTCACTCTCTGGGATACAGTGACTATGGGCAACACAAAAGGAAAGCCTGGATTTCTGGATGTGGAAGACTGCCGGGAAGCTGGGTATGAGCTATCCCACTGGGGCTGTCACATGTCACATCGCAGAGCTGAGTCAACGACCAAAGGGTCTTCTCCTCTGTGACATCTGACGATAGCTTGTTTTCAACAGTTATGGAAACATGGCATTCAACTTTGGAATGGCCTCATATGCTCCAAGATCAAACTATATACAAGGTGTAAGTAAGGCTTTATTTTACAGGAAGAGAGGGCTCTAAACAGGGTGTAGACTTCTAAATACTGAACATAAGCAATGTGAAAATCAAAATTTTGGTTTTGTTTCTTTGACCTTCTCTATTTAACCCGGATCACAGGAGATTAAACAAAATTTAATCTCTCACTTGACTCCATGAACTAATAGTGCAAGGGTGGCTTAGGTTCCCTTCAAAAAAAATTTTCCAGCCCATGAAAGACTTAAAAGACCTTCCCACCCGTGGCTCCTAAATTGCGAAAGACTGAAGTATAGCTTCTGAAAGCTGATACTAAGGGCAGTCGGATGAAGCAGAGGTTCTCAGGGATTCGTGTGTAGGTTCTTAGGGCCCTTGTGTAGGAAAAAGAACGGAAGAGGAAAGAAACATTCTTCTGCTGGCCAACTCTGAGTCTTGCTGCCGAGAGAAAGGGGAAAAATCTGCGGGTCAGAGGGACCAAAGTGCGTATCTGATCTAGAATTATGGCAATTTAGGACATAGAGGAACACATATCACCTTCCCTAGCAGAGTGGAGCCTGATCTCATACATAGTGAATGAAATAGCTTAAAACACTAATTTGAAAGGACATATGCACCTCCTATGTTCATTTCATTGCAGCATCATTTATAGTAGCCAACGTATGGAAGCAACCTAAGTGCCCATTGATAGATGAATGGATAAAGATGTGGTGTGTGTGTGTGTACACGTGTATACACACACACACACACACACACACACACACACACCCTGGAATATTACTGAGCCATGAAAAACACAATGAAAGCTTGCCATTTGTGATAGCACAGATGTACCCGGAGGGTATTGTGCTGAGTGAAATAAGTCAGAGAAAGACAAATACCATATGATCTCACTTATATGTGGAATCTAAAAAACAAAAGAAATGGACAAACAAAACAGAAGAGAAACAGACTCACAGATACAGAGAACAAACTGGTGGCTGTCAGAGGGGTGGAGGGTAGAAAGATGAGTGAAACAGGTGAAGGGATTAAGAGGTACAAACCCCGTTATAAAATAAATACGTCGCGGGGATATAAAGAACAGCAGAGAATATAGTCAATACCACCATTGTAACTTTGTATGGTAACAGAACGTAACTAGACTCATCGTGGTCACTCTGTAATACATGTAATTATATAGTCACCAGGTTGTACAGCTGAGTCTAATGTAATACTGTAAGTCAGGTACACTTCAATTAAATTACCTTGGATGCATTACTATAATGCTCAGTGCCATTTGTACAAGTCTAAGATAAGGACCTTTCACCAAAGCGAATTAGACAGTACAATCGCTTGCAAAAGCCTGAGAGAAAATAATGCAAATAAAGATCCAGAAACAGTGCAGGCGATACCTTTGTTCTCTGGAAGACAGCCTTTGGATCTAAAGTCTTAGTCTTCCCAGGATTGTTTTTATTGGTTTTAATCCAACAAATATCTTCACATCTTCTGTAACCCCACTTGCGTAAACACTAGAAATGAAATAATTAAAAAAGAAATCCTTAGCTAAAAGCATTAATACTTAAAACACCCATCCAGCATTAAAAAACTTCCTCAAGGTTTGCGACACTAAATTCCAAGGTGTCACAGGAATTTGGTTTTAGTGCAGCAAAAGAAAAAAGGAAATGCTAGTCTTTAACTATACAGAATACATATATAACTTCTAGATATTAACTTCATATAGTTAAATATCACAACACAGGAAGGCTACATAATACTCTAATTCTTCTATTGGGTTGTGAGAAAAGTCACGACACATTTTTGCAATGAAAAACAGAAAAAATCATGACTTTTCTGACAACCCAATAATACCACCTTCCACTATCATCAACAGAAAGTGAGTATTCACTCAGCCTCTCTTTAATCATAAAATAATCAAAAAGATACTTTGATTCTGGCCACCTCAATTTTCTATCCACTGACAGTGCTAAAAACTGTTGAAAATGTTCTAATTGATAATTTCTTTTCAAATGAGTCTTATAATTGTTACTTTTATATAATACTAAACCTCAGAAAATTCAAAGACCTAAAATTATTATGTATGTCTCTTTACTGGGTAAAGCTTTTCTTTCATCTTCACATAACCCAGAAAAGAGAGATCTGAACCTTCATGTCCTAGAATCTGCTACCTATGAACACATGACAAGTATCAGCTACGCGTCACTCGTGGCATTGAGGGCGTACCACGTGGTGCTGTCCAGCTGGGAATACAACCTGAGTGAGACAGTCCTTATCCCAGCTGACTAGAGAGCAAAGCAGGGAAATAGGGAAACGGTGCTGTGCAATACTGCTGACACCAGTCAAGACATTTACACACAGCAGGGCAAAAAACTACGTACGTTTCAGGAACTCTCTTGATGTGAAAGGAACACACACCTTAAATGAAACCTGGATTTTTATTTTAAAATCTCAAAAATCAAGGTGTCTGTTCCTGTCCCCACAGATTTGTTTTATACTGAATGTTCCTCAAACATCACAAGGCCCTAAGTACTTAGAATAAATTGAGATGTTATAATTTGTTTCACCCATGTTATTTTTCCAATGCGATCTGGCTTGTTCCACTTGTAACTCAGGAGTTTAAAAGTATTCAGGAGAATACTTTATAATGAGAGTAAATGACACTAAGCAGCTGGCTTCTGAGCTGTAATTTAGAGTTTCAAATCTCTAAGCTGTTCTCTTCCAGCAGTTGTAATAAATCACAGTATTATTTACTCATCCCTAGTATTCGTTAGCTAAGGGGTACTGCCTTTCATATATTTTCTTCTGAATACTTTTTCTTAAGATTATAGTACTATTTAAGAAACAAAATACAAAACATGAATCTTCAAACATCTTATGCCTTGTATGTGTTATATTTTTTTCTTATGAATTTAAAAATCCACTTTAAAAACACTGTCTTACCACTCTCCCAAGGTCCAATCCCTCCCCGGAACCACACCAGAGAAAAATAAATGATCGAGGTGCTGCGATCTCATCAATTTCTAACTTCATAATCTATAAGAAACCAAAACAATATGGCATAAAAATATTGTTTCCCATTCATTTGAAATTCAGAAGAACGATCTTTAAGGTTTATCAGGACCTTCAGTAGGTGTATTCTTTAAATGCATTAATTTTCGTTAGGAAACATAATGGACATAAAATTTTATCCTTAAAATGTCCTGTTCTACTCGTTTCCTTATTCTATAGCAAGACAACACACACATACAAATACATACATTTACTTTTATATGGAGAGCATATAGGAAACCACAGCTATAGAATTTTATAAGATGTTGCTTGTGAACAACCCTTTACAGATAAAGAAATTGAAACAAAAACAGGTTAAATTACCCCAAAGTTAGGGGCAAAATTAAAATGAAATATAATAAGAAATGTCCAGGGAGAACTTGGTTTCCTGTATCTATAGAACAGTTCTAAATAAAATCAATCAATTTTATTATAATTATTTTGTCTGAAATCCCAACAAAATATAATCTATATTTTTGTTTGCCTTACATGTGTTGAGTGTGTCACATTACAAAAAACAGTTCTTCAATAATTAAATCTCTAAATTTTGGGAATACTGTATCATGTATGAACAACTATAGAAGTGATTGTTTTATATAGTATGCTTTTTCTTTCAGCTCTGTAAAAGTTAAGAAGTTTCAGAGACCACGACAAAAGCAAAAATTCAATAGTTTCATTTATTAAGAAAATAACTTCTACCTGAATAACAGGTCCATTTAAGTTATAACCGATCATCTGTAAGTTATCTAGTTAGAAAAACGTTACTTGACAGTAGTAATGGAAATAGGTTACAATACATATAACCTGTTTATTTTCATACTTCTAGCTTTTTAGGTCTTGGAATCTCATCTGCTATTCTAATAGGAATCTGAATAAGTAACTAGCGTGTACAGTATGCAGGACTCCCAAGGCTCAAGGTGAAAGACGTGCTCTTGATATTCGCTGCTGAGCGGCTTCCAGACAGGTTGTACAGACATTCCTTCCCATGGTGTTTAAGAATGTCTACTTCACCATATCCTCATCGAAATGGGTAATTAATATATATTTGTCAGTTTAGTAAAAAGAAAAGAAAATTGGACATAAACTTCATCAGTCTCTGACCAGCAGTCAGGCTGGACTCTTCACTTCATCTAGCCAGTGTGAGGCTGGTCAAGGAAGACACGGGCTCCAGTCACAAGTGACAAACTAACAGAGCTTCTGCCATAAAGCAATTCCTTATATGCATCTGGAAAAGTTTTGTCTGGCCCCAGAGCCCTAAGCATTTAACTTTTACATGACGGCCTAGAGCGAGTGCTAATAGTTAGTATAACAAATAAAATGTAAATAAGGAAAGTATTAGGGTTTCACAAGTCTCCTGTTTCCCATTCGAGTCAGCAGTGGTCAGTGTTTTGGTTACGGATTCAGGCACTTATTTAAAATACCAACACTTCATGTTTAGCGTGCAATGTCTGAGAGAATGATTTGCTTAATACCCTTCACTGATGTGTGTCATCACTCATCTTCAGCTAAACGATGTAAACACCTATGTAGGAGTGTGTGTGAGTGTGAGAGTGAGAGTGAGAGTGAGAG